CACACACACACACACACACACACAGAGAGAGAGAGAGAGAGAGAGAGAGAGAGAGAGAGAGAGGGGGAGAGGGGGAGGGGGGTGGGGGGAGTCTTAGGGAGACTGGTGAGTGGCAGTACTTACGATCGATGCAGAAGCACACCCCTTCTACTGGACTCCACAATATAGAAGAGATTGAAAAAGCTCCCACATGGTAGCCCCACAAAGGCTACACCCAATGTCAATCGCTTACTCATGAAGCCATAGAATATGGATATGCAAGAACATGCCAAAACCAGACTGACCAGAAACACAGTGGGGACTCCTTGAAGTCATTATTAAGTTGGTCTTCAACATGCATCTTGATCAAAATCATTATCAACCCCTCCAAGTATTACTCTGTGTTCTGGATCGCGTGCGCTGCTTGAATGCTGTCCATAGGTAGTTTTGTACATTTTGCGGCTGCAGAGCCTCTCTGTCTTCTGCAGATGGTGCTATGCCACTTGGTGCTCGCACCATGCACCTTTTCCGGCCAACACCTCTACTTACACTATATCCTGGCCACCACCTAATAAGGTGCACCGCAATATGCATCACCTTCATCTCTCTCAAGGAAAATTGAAATAAATAAACATTCCTACATTATAAATCAGGACCTTTTTTTTGCATGAAGTGACACTCACCTCCAAGTCACTACTGTATATTCCATCCATGATTCAGGTGCTATTCAGCGCCAATGTCTTTTGTAAGTGGGACTTCTCTGTAGGTGTTGATATCTTTCTCAGATGTGTGTCATGTACCTTAGCACTGTTAGCAGATACAGATTTGTTCATTTCACAACGTCAAAGTAACGATAATTTGTGGGAATGAAAGTTTCGAAAACGGCTCACATTAACTTGCTGTTTGCAGCAAATCATCATGTCTTCCTTTCTTCTCCTTGTTTCTATTAACAATTTGCGGCCTTTTCTCGATTTATATGTGTCATCCTTGCTCAGGGCCCATGCTAATCTTCATTAGCTGTATCGTTCAAATTTCCCGCAGATGTCCCGAAGGACGTCTTCCTTTCCTGCTATCTACATAGACTATCCCTTCCTCTACGCAGCCCATTCATGTATGTCAGCTCTGGTCATATCTAACCTCAACCCCACATATACCCTTTGCTCACTCGTCCGGAGCCGCGCTGGTCCTAGTTGTGATGTGTTACGCTCTTCATGATCATGGTTTTTCGGATTTTTTTCCAACAATAAGAAGAAAAAGGTTCATTTACTGCTCTAATCTCTTTGAGTTTCATTTACTGCTCTAATCTCTTGAGTTTATCTTCAATGCAGGATCGTTGAAGCTCATGGCGACTGCAATCCTGTATGCCAGTCCTGAGGCAGTCTCTGTTGTCCCTGAGCAAGTGTGGACAGCAATAGAGAGCGTACGAGCAAGTAGAAAACCAGGTCGGTACTGAAAGCACTTGTTCCCCAATTCTGTTCCGTTGTTTTCCTTTGCGTCCCCCTTCTTGCCAAACTCTTGGCGTGGGAGTAGTATGCAGCAACTAGCCACTCTGCAAAACCCCGCCTTCATCCCCTTCTTGGTGCACCATGGTATTCTGCATGCCTCCTATGTCAGCTGCCACCCATTGCAATCCCCATGGTCGCCACTTTGCTGAAGCTTATCTCACCATACAACTTTCCAAGCTGCTGTGATTTGTCTCATGCAGTCCTTGACATCTATAAAGCTTGTATGGCGAAAGGTACTATGAAATAGTTGTGCATGCATGTCATTTAACTTATTTTTGAAATTTTTGTTACTTTTTAAGTTTTTAGTACTTGACATTTTTTGCTTATTTTGTGTTTGTCGTTCTGTCTCAAACCATGCTTCATCGTAACTTGCTGCATCTAAAAAAAAAAAAAAAAAAAAAAAAAGTCGCTGAGATTTAGGGGTATTTGTTCTGCCAGGGTTGCATGCAGGTGTGGATTTTTCGATCTGTGAAGCACTGCTGAAAATTCGAGACAATGAAACAGATGACGTTCAGGTGCGTTGCCAGTAATGCTGCTGCTCTTTTTCTTTTGCGTTCTTCTTTTGAGTAAAAAAATTCAGTAGAAAGAGTAAACTACTTAGAACATGAGCAAGTGAATAAACACCGAGCTTTTTACCCCTACGATCCCACCCTGGCCCGGCTATCTTCAAACAAACAGTGAACTGGCTGTCCTTCCACGCACTCCCTCATTCCCAATCACTTTCAAATGCACACTCGACTCGAACAATTGTTCACTTGCTTTGTTCCGCTGACTTAGCATGGTTTGTTCGAGTGCAGTGTGCTGGTCCATTCAAGCGTTCACTGGACTTCGCTTGGTTCAACACACAATGTTCTATTCCATGCAAACTCACTTTGATTGAGACTGCAGAACACACAACCTTCTATTCCATGCAAGCTTACATTGATTGAGACTGCCTTCATTCAAGCTCTTGATTGTGCTTCCACTGTGGACGCTATTGAAATCTGCATCATGGGAACATGTTCATTGGTGCGCTACATGTTCCCTTGGTGAGGCAACGAGGTTGATTAAGTTTTCTTCGTCTCGGCACCGGATATGCTTTCATTACGGGTGCCCTTGGAACATGCTTGATTATGTATCTGCTGTGGGGCTGTGTGTGTGTGTCTGTGTTTGTGTGTGTGTGTGTGTGTGTGTGTGTGTGTGTGTGTGCGAGAGAGAGAGAGAGAGGGGGGGGGGGGGGGGGGGGGGGGGGGTGGAGTGGGAGATGCCGTGGCTTGTTTTGCTTTTGCTTCTGCTTTTTCTGTGCCCATCTTGTTCGTTTTGAAATTCTGTGGCACTTTTTTTTTTCTGGAGGAGAAAAAGGGAACATAATGAACCCATGGAGACGCACTTTCCACATGGAAGGTGCAGGAGAAGAGTCGGAGGATGGAAACCGGTGGCTGTAGCCAGCCGTATCCAGCTGTACCTGTCCATAGCCGACATGTGAAGGTCAGGTCCTGGTTTCTATAAATGGGATTGGGCTGGGTGTGGCCTGGTGCAAAACATCGAATGCAGGTATGGGTAGATATGGATGGGTAAGGCCGTGGTCTAGGTGGGTAAGGATGGCTGGGTAAAGTGTTTTTATGACCTTTGACAAACCCATAGCCATATGTTTCTTGCCGACTAAAGCTTACCATCACTTTGTTACATCAATACACCATATTATTGTCCAGTGTCGTGAATTTTTAAACCACTAGTACATTCTAGCCTCTTTTGTAAAAGATTGGATTCCCCCTGCGCTCCAAGCTTTTCTGAGAGCGCCTCTGGTTGGTCACAAGTTGCCTGGGGCCATGTATTGGTGGTTTAAGTCACATCCATAAACGTTTCTCCAATTGTTTCGGTCTGTCATGTCACCCGTGCCCTTGGTACAGTGACTTGTAACTACTCCGCATGCAAACAGAACGTTCCTGCATACAAAAAAGAATAAAATAGAGAGCATTTACACATCATAAGAATACTATAGGAGGCTCGGATTGCTGGTTCTTTAACGCCAAGTTGGGCCGGATTTTCCTTGAAGTACAGGCCAGGCCGGGTACAAGTTTGCAACACAGGAATGGAACTGGGCAAGGACGGGTCTGGGTGTTGGGAACATTTGAGTTAGGGGAATGGGTGTTAAGGACACTTGAGCTGTTGGCTTGGGCAGGGTTCGGGTACAGGTGTGGGCTGAGTTGGACGTGGGTGAATATTTAAATTCACTTTTGCGGGAAGTTTTGCCGGCTCTGATAAGTGTACCAGTACCAATCTCAAATGTCAAGTGCGCATACAATGGCTTGAGTCTATATAAAGCACACGATGTCATGCAGACGAGTGTGAATACCAGGGAGAAGTCTAACGGAAGCTGTTATCACGGGTCATGAGCAAACCAGCAGCTGGTTAAGTGATCGAGCCCTTGGTTGAGCTGCAGCAACATTCATTGTTGTACTCTCTCTCTCTCTCTCTCTCTCTCTCTCTCTCTCTCTCTCTCTCTCTCTCTCTCTCT